CGGTTTGAGTGTCAATTTGGCATTCGTCTATTGGATATCCATGTCCTAGCATTACATTCACTGTGTGGACTTCCGAACAAAAGAGGTCCACATAAACCAGGTAGCAGCGGCGTTGTGTGGACTTGCCAACGTCCACACAGTGTTCCCCCTCTCTGGAAAACAGGTTTAGAGGCATTTTTGGGTTCGGTTTATCGGTGGCAAAATGAAGAGAAACACTACAGGGAACCATAGAAAACAATTGGGTGGAAAGAGTTCTCACAGTTTAAGAAATATGAGTTTTTTCACTGGTTTTTCTTAACTACACGAAAACAAAAGAATGTCCACACTAGGTATGTGACGTTAACATGAACGGGTGCGTCTTGTTCACACATGGTCGTGTAATAATTTGGGGAAATATTATTAGGGGAAATATTTGGGGAATTGTGCCGTTGATGACACAAGCATGGCATTTGGCACACAGTCAGAGTATGTCATGAGAAAGATATTTGGCTAAAGGGCCATCGCAGATTTGTTGGTTGAAAAACAAGCATGTTTCAAAATGGCTGCCATTGCTTGTTATTCCACCTATATTTTTCAAAGGACAAATCTGCGATGGCCCTATAGCCAGATATCTATCTCATGACATACTCTGACGGTGTGCCAAATGCCATGCTTGTATCATCAAAGGCACAATCCCATCACCTATCTGCCTAATACTAAGCCGCTGAAAGTACATTGTCAGGGTTTAAAAGGGGTCTTGCAAGGGTCACGTGGCTTTTTATAGACAAATAACACGTGACGTCTGACAGGTTGCCGTCAGGCCAAGCGTCTTTCTCATGTCCCCCTTCCCAATATTGTGCATTGTAAAGGCATAATTAATTTTTTTTCCATGCATTTTCAGTTGTTCGTTTCCAATAATAACCCCACTCAAAATCCAAAGAAGAATGTTCCAAACCTAACCTGTTGAAGTTGCAGCTCAGTTGGTATTACACCTTCCGAGAAAACAGTGAAAAACCATTCACACCTTTTTGATCACGAAACACGATTTCGTCTATAGCACTCTTTATTTAAAAACAAAATGAGTCAATTGACTGATCGTTGGAAATCACCCACAATGCTTGATTTCTTCTAAATGACAGCAAGCCAGACGGAATAATTTCACGCGGTGTTTAGTACCAGTACGATCTTTAATTCAAGTATAATTCGGTAGCTATACTTCCGAAATATATACAAATGATCTAGGCACTATGTGCCTTTAACGTGATTTTATTTTTAACACCGCTAGTTTTTAAAACATAATACACGCATGCGCAATGTGGAATGACAGCGATTTTCATCTTCGCGTAGAAGACGTAACGCGGCCACAACATGCAAATTAGTAACCAACTGTGACAGCGAATCATAAATTTCGTCTTCGTTCATCAATAAATCCCGAGGCAGCCATAACAATCGTATTTTCTATGTTTAAATCTCGATGTAGATTTGCAATTTGCAACATAAAAACAAACGAGTATCATTCCCTCTAACGACAGGCATCGTCCCATGTTTAATTCCAGCTAGCCCCAGACCATAAATTGTCCCGATCGCGAATTCTCCCCCCGTTTTTTCCCTTGCCGTTGTTGTGTTCCGGTTCTTTATTTCACGGAGTATATCGTCTTTCATGTTTTTATGAAGAAAAAAAAGAAGAAGTCTATTTTAGAATTGGCCTATTTTTGCGTAGGTTTTTTTTTCAATAATACAAAAATACATACATCGTAAGCCTACTTTTCCTTTCAGCCTATTTTGGTCACAATCCACCTTTTTATATACATACGTCATACATGATCGATTGAATTAAACAAAAATGGGAGTTTAATAAAAACAGGAATCGTCAATGGCTCGCTACAATACATTGGCTGAACACTGATAACGGTACGTTTGGAAGCTCAGGCCTGGCCGATTCCATTAGCAAAACGTTCTTATCATTTTAAACATGCCAGAAAACCACCGCACATTTGAAATTACAGTTTCTTTAAAATTGGCTTACTTAAGAGGCGAAAGTTACGTGAAGTAGGGAACAACACAAGCTTCAACAAATTTGCTAATGTGTTAGAAAACAATCAAACAAATAAAAACGAACGCTGATGTGTGCTGCGTTTGTTTCCCAATAGATATGAGCTTTTGTTGGATACTCTAACTGCGCGAGCGCAGATTTTACGATTGAAATTCGAGATGAAAAGTCAGCCGTTTTAATAATTGCGACGTTTCAAAAGGCATATGAAATATAAGAATTTTTTTCTGAAGTACAGCAGTCTGAAAACTTTAGTCAGCACTTTTATATAAACATTGTGTATATGCTTTATGCAAATCGGTATATGCAAATCGGTACTTTACGCATGCGTGCGCATGTTTTAGGACCGTTTTAGCATTTTGCACGCAGTCAAAGACAAGTGCGCGATTGCCCGCGAACATACAGGGTACACGTACGGTTCACAACTACATTCCATATGATTCGCAAGATGAAATCGACCCCTTCGTTATTGTTGTTTTAATCCTCCCAAGGAAAATGTACTTCGAGTGAAATGATGGGAAAAAAATCGGAAAGCTTTTATCTCCTCCGTAGTTAACCACATGGGTTGCTTTTCAAAAGAAAAAAAAAAACCTGGAAATATCTCGTGATGTTTTTAAGCGCCAAGCCAATTTCACTAAAATGGTCTGACAACATGTACACGGTACATTGACTTCTATCAGCGATCAGGCGGCTGTACGCACCGGCAGATTCCGCCATTTATAACGGCGCAGGTGGTGGGATTACAGCATGTTAAACGGTTACCATAGTTACAAAGGAATGTAGCTACGAAAATATTAATCAACAAAAGATAGGGTTATTTTTAGTTGTAAGTTCACTGACACTGTAGGTGTGAATACAACGTTTAAAATGAAAAAAAAAAATACCGGTAGAACGAAAGTAGAATCGAGCTATTTCAGAATCGCGTGGGAAACAAGAGCTTCTAAAAATACCTTTTATTCAAACTAGATTTTTAAGCTCTGCAGGAGTTTCTACATGTCGCTTGGTGGTCGGTCGGTCGGTCAGTTTGTCTATCCCCGAAAAATTGATCGAAATACGCCACCTAAGTTTCCCATAAACTATAACTACAATTTTTTTAGTTTAAAAAAAAAGGAAACAAAATAAATAAAATACTTAAAGAAAACTGTTTGTAACAACCACCGTTTTAAACTTCTGTCCACGGATCACAAAAAAAGTGTGCGTTCTTTCAGCAAAACGAAAACAATTCACACATATCCCATGTTTTCGTTTTGCTGAAAGAACACTGAACTTTAATTTGTGTGATCCGTGGACAGTATCCTTAAAACGGTGGTTGTGTTTAAACCTCCGTAACTCAAAAAGTACATAAGTGATTTGAATTATTCTTGTACTAAAAGAAAGCTTATGATTTGGGCTTTCATATCCTAAATTTTGAAAGCGCTACATGCAGAACTTCACTAAAACAATGGTCCCGACATTTGGGTTTCGTTTTTTTACTCATCCTGTATTTGAACTATGTGTACGCAGCGGTGAAGCAATGTTAGCTAATGAAGTAAAGCTTAGACTTTTTTAGGTGAGCAAAACGGTTCGATTGTTGATATTTCGACGCTGATAAAAAATGTAGGGCTTTCTCATGGATGGCTGGCAACCTTGGTCATGCTGCATTCCGTAAAAAAAAACACATTGGCGGTTCTTGATGTGTGCATTCGGCGGCAGTGATACAATTAAGGCGCTAGCGGAAAATTTACAGTCAACAATGACTGAAAAAAATAATGGGCGCCTCTGCGCAAATTAGGGGTACCATCCATATACGCCTAGGTAATAAAACGTCAGTAATATACCACTGGTTTGTCTGCTTTCGTGAAGTTCTGATGTTCAGACGTATATGACCAAGTTAATTTGCGTGGCTAAGCTTTTGTTCGTAGTTGCGGTAATTACACAATGATTGCTAGGGCCACTAGGCGCTCCCTTAATTATCTTTTAATTGTTCTTTTGCACGAGAGTGGTTTGGCAAACTGCAGAACGGGGAGATAATGAGGTTTTGATCTCAACTTTGCTTCTTTCTTGTGTTTTTTGTTTGTTTCGTATCTGTCATGGTTTGGAGTCTCGCGTGTGATGAATTCGACGTAATTATTCGAGAAAAAAATGCCATGAGAAAAAAATCAAAGGTCTCAAAGTTTGATTGTTAGAGTTGTTCCACGATGACAAAAAGGGGCTATGAGGTAAAGGGATAAACATAAAACTAGCTTAAATTGACAGCGGGCCTTTTTGAGGGGTTTCAACCGGTTTTTCTGGTAGAACAAAAGCTTTGGGTGAGTTTTTGATAGAACAGATGATTTTAACACAAACGGACGCATTATTTTAAGCCTAGTGCCTAGTGAAACAAACAAACAAACAAACAAACAAACAAACAAAACAAAAAGGAAGCCGTCAACTAAGAAAGCATTAAACGACATTAACTGTATCTGACAACATGAATAAGCACGAAAAATAAAGACTACTAGAAAAAGGTACAGAGGTAAATAAGACATTTTTAGCGTTTTGTTTTCTGCTACTTATCTAATTGTAAACCACAAAGTGAAGTACGCAGACAATAATCACCGCATAGTCGGCATGAAAAGGCGAACTCCTAAAGACTTTCACCAATTGTATCAAAATGTCTTTTTCATAATTACGTTCCAGTATGCAAATTGTTTATCAAAAAACAGACATTTTTTTTAACTGACAAAATGACCACAGAATTGTTGCAACGTTTGAGGTAGGCCTATTTTAAGTACTTTTTTTAATTTTTTTTTTATAAACGCCTATAAACTGTACCACAATCTTACGGATCTTGCCAGTACGTTTGTTTGAGCTCAGAAAATGGCCGAATGCAAAGTTTCACCAAAATAAAACATTCAATTTGTAACTGTACTCCCTGCATGCTTGATTTGTTTGACTGTTACGAGAAAAAGGAGAGAGTTTTGATTTTTCAAGGATTGATTTTGGTACTCACCCCTTCCGTGTCTGTTAGATCGCTGTCTCCGATATCTAATTGACTGACAACCAGGAGAGCGCAGAGCGATAGAACGATAAGCCGGAGCAGAGGTGAGGCATACATTTTGGCGGGAACAGGAATCACCAAGGCCGGTGCCAGTAGAAAAAGGAGAAGAAATTTGCGCGGGAAAACAACGCTGGATTTCTTTGTGGCTTGATTAGTACGTGTGTGCTGTTGCCTGCTGCACTAGGTTCACTGCGTTACGTCTGCTATCGGTACTAATGCAGGACTCCCTCGGCCGCCGCGTTATTTCAAGTCGTTGCTGCTGAGGGGCGTGCACAAATCGCCAGCGGCCTCGCGTGATTGGCTGCGAGTTCGGTGACGTCACGTCTACGTCAATGTCACAGACGACCACGCGCTGTTATGCACACGCATGCACACGCAAACCAGCGGCTCACCGCTAAAATAACTGGTGATTTTCCAGCCCGACCCTTTTGTGTTTTGTTTTGTGGGCAATTTTTGCCGACTCCGACGGTAACCGTTTTCACGTTTTTACGGGGGAGGGCATTCTGCTGACGTTTTTGAAACGAAAGGGGTCTGATTTATTGATCAGAAAGCGGGGAAATGACCATCAATAATAAACGACCAAAAGTGGATATGAACAGAGTCAGCATTAATTGCAACAAAGGAATAGGCGCGTCACGCTACACGCTTGAGCCATTAGGGTAAAGCATATTGACTCGCAACGTCAATAATACAAAGTTAGCTATAATCCCCACCTGGTTTATTGATGGAAAAAGTTTGGAGGAAAATCTATTAGCTCAACTCCAACTACCAAACTTGAGACTTTTCTCTATGGTTCATTAATCGCCGACGAGGAGTTATGACTACGAGTAGTCCAGTGCAGAAACGCAAGCCTGCTGTAAAGTGTGGAAAACAGCGTTTTGTCATGATAAGGATCATTCTCGCGAGCCCATTGGACGGACCTACCGCGTGCGCGTACTGGTACGCGCGCGTATCGCGCGAAGCACGCGCGCACGAATAATTTCTGAATGTGCACAGAGAGCCATAGACTTGCGTTGGAATGTCTCTCCCAGTGGTTTCCCCAACTCTCCCTCTCTTACCGTTGAGGGGGTACTTCTACACGGACTTCATAGATAATGTTAAGACAAAGCACAGCACATGAATGACAATGAATGACGGCCCGGTAAAATATTTATCCAAAGTCGATTACAACGAGCACTGGAGCATGGAAAATAAATGTCGCGTGCCAAAAATCAATTTGAGACATAGCTCATGGCAGTTAAGTATGTAGCAATCACAAATGCATGCACCAATGAGGTTTCATGTATACCAAAATCATCATTGTTCATTTGTTTTCTTCCATCAAAGAGCACCACAGATGGAAAATGAATTTAATTGTTCCTTTTTAACGGGCTGTATAATATACACACTTACAATAGGCATGGCTTTATTATCAAGCTTTAGTCACACACAAAAACGGAAATTAAAAGTCAATAGTGTTATAGAGAGAGGCGAAAATAAATTGCTTTGTCAGAAATTATTGCATCATTTTCAATTTAGTCTGAATATGTTTCTAAAATCCAGCGGCCTTGGCTCTCTGCCAAAGACGGACCGTTCTTAGAGATTGTTTGTTGGTATTCTTTGTTAGAGGGAAAAAATCTATCAACGGCTTCTCCTGTTCGAAGAAGACGACGGTCTATTGAAATATTAACATCAATGCGGCAGGACGGAAGTAAATGAAAAAGTGATTGTTTCGGTGCCAGCTGAGGCACTTTGCTTGCACACAAAGGCGTCAGAGGTTTAACACATGGATTTAACAGAGTAGCTCGGCCGCGGTTGTTGGGACCCCCCGCCCCAGCAAAAAGTGTGAGTAATGAACAAATTAATTGAAGGTTCGGAGCAAATTGGTTTTGATGTGATTTCAAGAAAAGCTTCTCGCTGAATGTGCAGGAAAGGAGCATGAAACACGAATGTTAATGTTTTTGTGCAGATTTGTTTTTCAAAGGATCAATGCCATTTACCGCTTTGCTTGAAAATAATCTTCAATGAGCCCTAGCCTATACAGTGTGTATAAAAAAAAATGCAAACAAAATATAACGGAATGCCAGACGAAGAATGTGTAACCAACATAGATAATATAGGTATGGTTTGAAAGAAAGCCTTTCCACTTTAAAATGAGACATCAAACGTCCAAATCTGAACATTTTTGACAGAGGTATGAGTGATTTTCCAAGAGAGGTCAAATTGACCATGGGACCAAGTTTTCAATTTCAATTAGGACCAAGGTTGCCTAATTGCCTCTGTGTGAATGTTTGCCTGGCCTGCCAAAAAAAATGTGTTCAGCGAGTAAATGTAATTTTAAACATTTTCTTGCTATCACCTCATGCTAAAAATGTTTAGCATGAAAACATGTTTACAAACTGATACATGTAGCAAGAAAGTGTTTAGAATTGTGTTTACTCGCTAAACACATTTTCTGTAGGCAAGGCAATCGTCTACCCGGTAACTGTCAATCTGTGCATTTATCATGAAACAAAAACATCACAAATTCAAACAACATTGACAATTAAATCATGCCTAAAATAAGCCCCTTTATCGGTAAAGCACTCGTCTGCCTCTTAATAATTGGGGGAAAATAAAATAGCGGCGAAAAAGGTGTTGACATGCGCGCGTTATCCCATAGTGCACCGCGAGCGGCATTTTACGGGTCTGCCCGTAAAATGCAACGTGTAGTTCATTACAATTACTCACAGTGAACATTAAAGGGGTACTGCGTCCTGAAATCCACGAAATTTTCATATTTTGGATTGTTTACTTATGCTATTTCAAACATCTGGTTGAAAGGAAACCAACCTAATGTCTTACCGTTCCCAAGAAAAGATGAAAAAAAAAACCCGGCTGTTTACATCGGACACGACGGAGTACGCATACGTTTTTCCTGTCGTTTCGGTCAATGTAAGATACACGTTGTGTATGTCACATAAAATTACACACAGCACCAATGCACAAATGTCGTTTCTTACACGTCCGCAAAAGGCGATCACTTTGTGGCTGGAATCACAACTAGCATGAACAGCCCCGACTTTTGGGGGTCGCAAAAGTGGACCCAGAAAGTCGTTCTCGCACACATAACACAATCATATAACAAAAACGCCCAGTTTTTTTTAAGGATAGTTGTTTGGATGTTTATATCCTACTTTTAATGTTCTTTCCGATTTGAACAGCATTTCGTTCAAAACGCGTTTTGTAGCCCAATTGGGCTCATTCCAGGACGCAGTGTCCCTTTAACATAACTTTCACCGTACAAAAATACGGTATTTTTTTTAACAGTGTACCTCACCGACTGACTGACTGACTAACTGACTGTCACTTGTGAACCGGGCAGTGCTTTTGTATAGGATCACCCCGTATACGCCAACGAATGTGCTCAATCCGACCCAATCTGTATAGCAAATTCTGAATCAACTGAATGTGATTTTGTGCACTCGGGGACCATCTCTACCAGCTTGACTCGTCTTGTTTTCATAATGTATTTCGCGCGAAGAAAATATTAAACCAATGACCAACCTGATATGCAGCCATAAAGAATAATGTTTGCTTGACAAACCCGACCCTTTCTCATAATTTTCTTCCAAACCATACCATTTCACACGGAATAACAATTTTACAGCGTCTTTCATCTATCTTCAGTTAGCGCGACATTGATTTTTTTTTCTCATTAAAACAGTGGTTTTGTTTCCATTACTCATGTTCCTATACGTGCCCATAAATAAAATATTAGTGGCAATTTGCGATTTTTTATGCCAGATAAACATTTAAGTCTCTTCCGTTCTATGTTTTGGGTTATTTTTTAGGAAGTCGATGCATAAAGTAGTGATTTAGGAACACATCAACCATCAATGATTGTCTGCATAACGACTGTAATTGATCAAGCATAACTACAGCACATATAGATGGACTAGTTTGCTCGACCTCGCTAATTCGGAGAACTGCAGTCTATGTGCGCTGACCATAACATGACTACTTTAGCATACTTATGTTTTATACAAAGTGCATGCTTACCAGTTTTCTTGCTTCAAAATATGTAGAATCTCGTCCACCCGGCGCATAGTTGATTTAGCAACGGAAGAAACATTCTGCACAGGAAAAAAAAAAGGTAAATGGTACATTACTACGTACCTTTACATGATGTTATTGAGATTATACCAACAATTGAAAAGAGAATGAATATGACATGTTATAATGTCATCATTTTTCTGTGCATTCTGAACACCAGCCTGTGAGAGTTTTAAGTATTTTAAAAAGAATTTTGAAGTAAGGGGATTAATCAATGGTGTTCAAGGGAATTTGTATGCTGGGGTCCGCCAAGGTAGGCGCACTTGCTTCCACTGCGCGCCAGACGAAGGTAGAGGGCGCCCTGCTCAAAATCAGTAGGAGATCAGCAACCCACAAACGAATATGCAGCAACCTTACATGCGTAATGAGCCGTTAGTTATAAACCCAAAGCAGGGATGTGACCAAGTCTATCCCAAGTCCATCACAAGTCCTCAAATCCAGTCCCTATTCAACTCACAAGCTAATATCTAATCAAATGAGCTTTCACATAGGCATTCTCTACCGTTATTTGTGACTGGACTTGTGACTGGACTTGTAATTTACTTGTGACTGACTCGACTACGAAAAAAAGTAATTCGTCGTCAAAAGCAACGCTATTACTGGCCCTAATAAGATAAAGCAAAACTGCGTAAACATCGAGAGACAAAAAAGCAAACTCGACGATCCGAAATCCTGGTTTATAATGTTGCACACTCGACGATCCAAAATTCTTGTGTATTATATCCGCCTCACATATTATACCAAATTTTCAATTAGTTCTGAGTGCGAAGTGCGTATCAAAATAGGACCTCACAATGCTTACATACGACCATTCAAATAGAGACGTCGATTACTAATTACGCAACTAGTCTTTTCTGATACAAAGGGAAAATCTGTGGAATTTGTAATTACCAGGCTATATATGGATGCAGGCACAGATTAGATGTTCAGCAGTGCAGGTACCTTTTCGAATGATTGCTTTTTGTCCATGTTACATACAAGACTTACATCATCATTATCTCACAGGAAGTACCGGTACTTCCCGACCGGAGAGGTACAGACAGGGATTTTTTTTTACCATTTTTTTCGCACAGCGGTCATGTCGTTAAAGGTACATAGCATCAACTGCTGTTTGTGTAATTTTCTCCCTTTGAA